CGAGTAATGGTCGCCGATTCACAGAATATGTTGCTATGGTCAGTTCGGTCTATTCCGTCTGACGTCCATTAGAAAACCCCACCGATGTTGGTATGCTTTGGCAGTATGCATCTGCACTGTCTGGCGTGTACTTGTGTGTGTATGTACCGTTCCGTCGTATTTGGCTAAACCCTTGATTTATTTTACCGAATCCCTCCCCCCTCCAACCCATTTATCCTCATTGTATATAATCAGGCTTTTCCGTCAGCAAGCGATTGGGTCACTCGCCTATATACATGCATATTGATACTATTACAAGTCCAATACGATCTTTATATTCACCCCATCTCTCGCTCTTTTATCTGTACGCCATGTGCATAAATTATAAACCGAGAATACAGCAGCTATCGATCTCTTTCTCGGTCACAAAACTTTTTCAAATATTTCCCTCAAGGACTGCGAACTATTTCGTTTCTGATTGAGCGGGTCTGATGTTTTGTTCGCCTGAAACGCACTGGAATGGTTTGTTCGAGATCGATCTTTTTCTCATATTGTCTGGAATGTGGACAGTGTATGCACTGAATACTGTTCAAACGTTGTGCACATCTGTTCTGACAATAGTTTTGTCTGTTCTCTCGCTCTCGGAAAAGCGACTATCATTGTTTCTTTATGCCCTAACAAAGAACATAATTGCGCGCACAGTGCACAGCAAATCGATTCAGTATTTGAATAAGCAACGCAAATTGGCGATTGACAGCTATTCAAGAGGAGAAAAAGGTGATGCTCAAACACGGTTCAATAAAGCGCACTTGATTGTGCTCGTTCTGAAGTTAGGACAACTACGTGACAATCGATGTGAACGCACCCAGGGCAACTGTCTAATTCGTTTTGGGTTTGCATCTTTTAGGTAATTCCAGTCAGGTGGACGACCATCATCATTGTATTAAATGATCATCATTGTATTCTCCTCGTTCAGCCATACGCGTTGTACCGTTCCATGAGAGAGCCGCGGATAATTCTCTACGGTTGAACCTTTATGGGAAGTAACTCAATTCACAACTGCCCAGTAAAACTATCCGATTGGGGCAGCGTTTATGATGATTACTACGATATCATACTCCAGGTAACCAGCTTTCTCTTCANGCTGTTGATTGTACACCTTTATAGTCAATAAACAAAAGGAGAAGTAAAACATCAAATAAAAATAAATTCATGGTTCAGCGGTATTAACAGTCAATACATATCCAGTTTGCGCATGGACTGGAGGTGAGGTGGCAACATCGAGCACATTCACTTTTGGAGCTTCTGTACTGCAGAGGTTATTCACACACAGGCCGCTCAGACATGCCTCGTCGAAATAACAGATTTTTCCATCTGCCAAACTGCGCTTGCAAACGCCATGTGCATACACTCGGGATTTTTCGCAGAACAGACCGGGACAGCAATACTGATTCGCGAAGTCGCTACACGCGTTACTCTCCATGTTACAGTTGTCTTCCAGTATCCCAGATCCAATGTGGTTTTCTATGAATAAGGTAGACGTGTCATTCGATTAATTTTCTGACTGCAATGGTAACGGGTTTTGTCCTGATTCAACCTATTTCTCTCATTCATCTTTTACTACTGTTTTACGAACCAGTAGTAAAACTCACTTCCATGACGTTACGAACTCAGTTTCATACGATTTCAGATAAGCCAGAATACCGTTCAATCCTGGATGCCATGCTAGAACGCCATAAACATTTTTGTGGGCCAGCCGTTCGGAGGAAACTCACTGAGGGTCCATGAGCAATAAATACCAGGATACGAAAAATCCTTCATAATGTTTGTTCTCCTACTTATCTAAAGATTCACATGAAAGCCACTTATCTAAATATTTTGATTCAGATCGCTGAGATTCGAAATTCATATTTCCCACTCAGCTCTGTAATCAGTTACCCCATTTCCATTTCAAAACAAATAACCGGTTGGTCTCTTTAATGGGTTTCATTAGCATCTTATATGGTTTCTCACATTACTGAAGTCGAAGAAGCAGCCAATTCAGGGACTAGTCGAAATCTGTTTCAGTTGATACGCAATACGGGAGGTCGAGGATGAATTGCGGTGCGCACTGAATTAAGATAAGTAGTCTTCGTTGGTTAGGTCACTTATGATGCATGCCCATAATAGAACTTTGGCTGCCGTACCGCGCCTTATTTGTTGTTGCTGCTCCGGGCCAGAGAAAACCCCTTGGAGGTCAACAGATGACGTGGAGACTAGGTATGGAAAATGCACGAAGCCGTTAGATCAAGTAAACGTCTCTTTTTTCTGGTTTCCGGTGCAAAAACCCCGTATGTGGAGTTGCAGCCACTCCAATGGAAGCAGCGGAAATGCTGAAAATTCATTATTCCAACGTATTCGCAGCACCTCAGGTTGAAGGTTTACAACTACCCCAACGGTTGCATCATCTTTCACATCCTTCACTCACC